TCCCTCAGTGTGTATGATAGGCTTATTTTTTATATACTCAATACTTTTCCAGAAATGTACTGGCTGCTTACGTGACATGCAGGGTCCACTTCATAAACTGATCATCTTCAACAGTGGGTGGTCCTCAAGGATGCAGAGCGGCCGCTGCATCAATACATTATGAATGGCGGTATAATTTCTAACTTTTCTTTGCATGTGTTGTTTACAGGCGGAATGTGGAATTTTAACATGGGGGTGTGAGGGCCTAATGCATTAAGTTGACCCTACATCTTTGTGCAAGGTTTGCTTCAACCTCAAGTTCTGTGCAGTTTTGGGCAAGAGGCAGTGAACCAATCACAGGAATGGTTGGGGGGGGGTTAGAAAATCACAGCAGATAAAAGGGTTATTTTTAATAACAGTAAATGACAAAATTATTTTGGGTAGCAGTGATACATTTTATATACCCGCATTTAAACTATACACATTCATATCTCATATGCATTTGCTGAGAATGGCACCCATGGTGTATCATAAGACGGATAGAGCTCTAAAAGCTGATCCGTAATGGTTACAAGGACATTTGCATAACTCCAAAGACCAATCTTAACACCAGGGAATATTTCTGGAGAAGGGAGATAATAAGTAACCATGAAAGTCAATGTGACCTGTTGAGAACGCAAAGCTGTATTATCCTGTCTGTGCACCAGGGGGGGCTGTTGCCTTTCATTTGTCAGATGAATGCACAAAACATAAAAAAAGGTATTTAAAGTGAAAGACTGTCCTTAAAATAATACTAGATGCATCAGGCTTAGAAGGGAGGCACTCTACATATATTGATAAAATCCTGTCTTAGGGCACCCCAATAGGACACAAACTTGATGTGGCCGCAGGGCAACTGCCAACACACCTGCAGTACAGCGTATCATAGTGCACTTAGCTTGCATTTTGGTGCTGTTCACTGACAAAAATGCTGCAGGTGCATTTTGTTTAATCCCATGAGGCACTGATCCATGTAGAAGTTCTAATTTCTTTTTGATTTAGAATTTCGCACCCAGGGCAAATAGGCAAATAAGTGTGTCCCCTCCCTCTCATAAGGACTACTTCAGCAGCATAGGTTACAGATTCTGCCTCTTTTGCAACTGTCCTGCCGACTGAAGCACCCAAGGCAGTTGCCTCTTCTGCCTACCCCATGGGCCTGCCCCAGTTGTGCACAAAGTGCAGTAATAATGTATGTGTATGTTCAACCAGCTGTAGTGCATTGTGCTCACATTAGTTGGAATGGCACCTCAGTGCATTCCAGAACACACCAACACAGTACAAAAAGAAATAAAAAATAATAATGCTCAGGGCAGCATGATGCATGCTGGCACACCGCATGCGACAGGGTGACAATACAGGTATGAGACAGGCACAGAGTGTTATGACTTCATAACAGGAAGTATCTGAAATAGGATGGCATGGGCAGGATCACCAGGGATTATTAGCTGCAGAATTAAAAAAATTACTTTAAACCCTGGTTCAGGGGCAACGTGCATGAAAACGCATGTGTTTTATGGCAGACTTGCTGCAGTGTCATGCCTTCTTAAAGTCACCTCAAATGTGCCTGCCAAAGTAGCTGCATTGTTGCATGGCATGCAAAAATCACATGGTACAAAAGTACCATGAATTATTTAATTTTTTTGCACACACTTCTTCGCTACGATTGTCCCACATTGGTCAGCCTATTGCAATGAATAAGTGGGTTGCCCAGGTGCGCCTTACCTTAACGAACATAAAACCCGCACATCCGTGCACGTGCTGCCATGCATGCACAGGTGTAAACCAGAGCTAAAGGTGCCCATACACCCTACGAATATTGGCCGAATTTCGTTTGCGATTTCGTCCGATATTCGTAAGGTTGATGGGCAGTGTACAACCGCAAATACTGTACATATCGTAACGACTTTTGTCTTTCCAGCAGGTTAGAAAGCTTCTGTCTAATCGTACGTTTTTCCCCAAGTTGGTGGCGTTTCCTTACGTCAAAATTTGCACGATTAACACTGCTCATGCGCAGACGAAAATCCATGCAGTCGATTAACGAAATTCGTCCAGGTGATCTCTGCTAAAGACCGCTAATTGAGCTGTGCGATGGTCGGGGCAGGATGGGGCTGCTGTACGAAAATCATACGACAGCCACAAGGTGTATGGGCACCTTATCATGTTATGGTATTTTAGTGATCCGGGTCACATCTACTTCAAGTCCATCTTCCTGCTCATGCTTAAAGGAGAACTACGGGGTCAGGGCTTTTCCCCATAGTTCTCCTTAGGGTAACGGGAGGACACAAACTAGCGTCCTCCCGTCACCCTAGGCTCAGTATACTGCGAGCTACAGCTCACGGTATACTGAGACGCCGCAGCTGAAGCGGATCCCGACAATTATGTCTGGATCCGCCCAGCTGCGTGACTGACAGCTGGCTCTGCCTATCTAGAGGCAGAGCCAGCTGTACCCGCCCCCACCCCCGTCCGTTCCGCCAGTCAGCGCTGGCGGAGCGGAGAGGGGGGAATCCAGCCCCTCCCCTGTCACGGCAGTGAGATGTGCGCGCGGGGGGGGCGGAGGGGGGGGAACCCCGCCCCTCCCCTGTCACGGCAGTGAGCTGTGACAGGATCGAGAGGTGAGCGAACGCCGGTATGTGTTCGCTCACCTCCCGATCTACTGAGCCGACCTATGACAGTCTCATTGCCACAGGTCGGCAAGAACTATGAGGTGAGTGAAAAGCACTTAACTCATAGTTCTCCTTTAATGTCTCACCTGTGTGTCTTCCCCACCTGCAGCTTCTACCTCCATAATTGCACAGCTCATATGACTCTGCTGTCAGTGTGGCTCCTGTACATTCATTATCATCTCCTCTGCCTGGCTTGGCTTCTGTATATCTAAAAGTTAAGTCTTCATTTACCATTTGCACTATGTCAGTGCTTGGAGTGTAACTGAGGATGTGGAATACCTGAACACTTAATAATAATAATGTCATAAGCACTAAAGAATCACATGACCCATGTGGGTAACTTTGCATCCATTTCCATGTCCCTCCTCTGCTTTTGCATGTGACATTCTTAATGCTGGTGGAAATTCTGCTCAGAATTTACAATGTATATATGAATGTGTACTATTGGAGGGCTTTACCATAGACAGGCAGTTTCAAATGGATACAATAGTGGGGCAGCTACATTTCATTAGCTTGAAACTCTCAGGCCCGTTCATACCAGGACGTTTTGGGCGCGCTGATTTTTTTTTAACAATCCCATACATTCTTATGGGGACCGCTCATGCAAGGGCCTCCCCAAATGCTCCCTGAGCTACCATATAGATTTCAATTGAAACGCGCTGATCAGCGCATTCTTGGCCATTTTTAATTGCGTTTCAGCGCTGAAACGTGATTTAAAAAACCACTAAAAAACACCCTTTCAAAGATCGCTCTGAAACGCTGCCGCCCTGGTGTGAATGGGTCCTCAGACCAATGAGACAAAGTTACTGATCTAACTTAATGAAAAATGTGAAAAGGCTTTGATGGAAGCAGGAATTGTATATTACATCAGTGCAGTGACTTGACACTTTAAGCTGCAAAAGAACCTAATGGACAAATTTAATATGGATTTCAGGATCCAGTGTTTTTTGTTCAGGAGCCGGCTCCATTCAAAAGTTAGACACCAGCTGTAATTTTTAAGGAATGTAGGTTTCCTGGCTACCGGGATTTGTCCAGCCCTGTGATTAGGCATGCTGAAGTGGCTTCGTAGTCAAAAATAAGTGCACTTCAAGGTGCCTTAATGGCCCATTCACACTACAGTCATTCGCAGTGTATTAACATAATAAATGGGCTGCAGGTGCACCTTAATGGACCAATCAACAGGCACGCACCTTTTTTTAAATGCACCAGAACTGTGTGCTGGGGGTGCCATTCACAATGAATTGCAGTACATATAGAGCTGTGCACATTTTAACACGTTACTGCAACTCATGGGTGTGAATGGGTTCTTTATGCTAATGCAGCTTGATGAATAAAACATGTGCCCCTGCCCTGGGGATAGGCACTAGGATGTATTTTATGGAATGGGGTTTTAGGGCTCATTTACACCATAGTATATGTTATGACACACGTTATAATATGCATTATTGCAATATAGATTAGTGATGGGCCGAACACCCCAGTGTTCGGTTCGTATTCGAACGGCCGAAAAGTCCGAATACGAACTCGAACGCAATACAAGTCAATGGGGGTCAAACGTTCGAAAATGAAGGTCCCCTTAAGGGCTTATATGCAAATGATTGGCCATAAAAGGTGTATGGTACACAGACTGTTTGATAATCCTTCAGAAACCGTCTCATTGGACAGCGTATGAACGTATCTACGACCTAAAAGAATCTATTTTACTCTGGTACTACAGGCCTCCCTCCCCCTCCTAAGAAGTGAAAACCAGCTTGAGACCTACTCTGTGGGTTCACAGACCCAGGTGAGCATTCCTTTTGTAATTTGTGCATTCACTTGGTGGAGGTGAAGGATTATCAAAGAGTCTGTTGTCCTGCACACTATAAAGTCTGCTTCAGAGGACTGCTCATGTTGTTTGTACGCGTTGCATCGCATTGTTTGGATTCGTTATCTGCGCTGCATCGTTTGATTCTTTTTGGACTTTATTTCACTGTGTATGGTATGTGGTTTGGGTTCAGCCTATAATCATTGTTGTATATTTCACTGTTTATTTGTGATTGTTTCTTCAGCTCGGCACATTATTGCATGTATATTTTGTATTCTATCAGATATAATTTTATTGCTTTAGTAGCTCTTTATCACCTTTTTTTTTTCCGCATCATCACTGGCGAAGATCTTTTTTATTAATTGATGTATTATTGTAGTAGAGAAGCTTCTGATCTGCCCGTGTTACCTGTCATGAGTGAAATCTGTGAGCTGCCATTTGTTGCCATGAGTGGTTTGGCATGGAAGCTCTTCAGGGGAGGGGTTTAGCATGAAGGGTCTTCAGGGAGGGGTTTAGCATGAAGTGTCTTCAGGTAGGGGGTTTAGCATGAAGGGTTTTCAGGGGCTTAAGTCGAATTGTGATTGGGTGGCATTGATGCTCCCATGCTCCTGAATTCAGAGCATAGTTGTTGCTTTCATATAGGCCTGTACCTGCTTGCACTACAGTGGGCTGAAATATTACAGAGGGCGTGGCTAACAGCATTGTCATTGCAGATTCACAAGGCTGTACCTTGTCAATCAGTACCTGGCAACACCTAGTCCTGCCCACTAATTTCTGGATTGACAGCACTGCCTCTGTTGCTGAAACCCTCCCATTGTGACCTGCAGTGTCTGGGAAGGGGAGTGTGTGAGACACAAATGAAGGGGGCTTTGGTTCAGTCAGGGTAGGTAAAGGTATTATTTTGTTTGCTTTTGCATCATATTGTAACGGTATGCAGTGCTTGTTTAGACTGTTAAACAGGGGCCCTTAGTACTTTGTATTCAGTACCCTAGAGAATTCCTCCTATAAGGTGCGTATCTTTGGTATATGAGGGTGCCCAAGTCTATCTGAAGTGTAAAATCTAAGACACTGTTCCTCTGACTGCTAGAGTCAGGAGATTTGGTGATGTCATTGCTGTGCTGCTCATGGTTCTCCTTGTTGGAGGCTCTGACATGAGGACGTAAAGCCCTGCCTCTACCAAGATGGCCGCCTCAATGCCGAGACTTACAGAACAAAGCATGGTAAGCCAGTAATAAGTAAACGCCATCTGCAGGGAGATCACAGACAATACTGGTGGTCACATCTCCAAACAAATCTCCTTACCTTTCTGCTCGCAAACTTGTTTAGAATGTACACAAGGCTACACATGCGCAGCTTAGTTTACATTCTCAGTATGACTTTGCATGGGGATTAACTGGCTCCCCCCATGTACATGCTTTATCCCTGGCTGGCCAATCAAGACAGCTGAAGATACCCAACCTGGTAAAACAGGTTAAGATATCTGCGCCGGTGAGGGATCTTGAAGTCGTCGCATCGCTGGAAGCCGCATGAGTATGGCAGATGTTAGATCCTCTTTAAGCTCTAGTGTTGGGTGTTATTAGGATTCATCAAATTCTTCGCCATAGATCAGCAGCTCAGGTAAAGCTTGGATCTGACCCCGCTCCAGCTATAAAAATGTGTTCGGCTGACTCCAGCAGTTCAAATTCTTCCATTTACAATGTGAGCCGCTCAGCCCTGGAACAGGCAAGCCCATTGTTCATAAGTAAGAAGTACATTAGTTGTCTGGGGAGTAAAGAATGTATTTAGATAGAGTACTGAGAGCGGTAAAAGCCATTATGTGAGGATCTTTTATGAAACGAGAAATGCTATTGCATTTATGTTTTCATTAACCCTTTTCCTGCCGCCGTCGCAAGAATTAGGGCAGTATTGGGATGTAATCATACTCATGGCTGCTACTTTCTATAGAAGAGCCAGCTTCGGGTTCTCGTATAGAACTGATTGCAGCCGGAAAAACAATTGACTGAGTACAGACTGTATTCAGCTAAAAGGAGGCATTGTGGGTCTGAGAGATACCTCCGTAAAAAGAGTACCTGTCACCCTGCTATCACATAGGCTTTGTCATAGCAATAAAGTTAAAGTGACATTAAACCCTCAGATTTTTTAACATAAACCAATACTGTAATGTGTGCCTTACTGTAATCCATGGTAATTTCTCTTCTCTTTGCTGCTCTTCCTTTTAAATCCTTATCTCTTCTCATGCTTGGGGAGAACTTCCCTTTGCAGCTAAGTGCCTCTTCCTGTAGTGCTGGCTCAGGTTGTGAACCTTCACACAGACACCATGTATCCATTTCATAGACAAGGCAGTCTACTGCAAAACAGAAGTTCTGCCCAGCATGAGAAGAGATACGGATTTAAAAGGAAGAGCAGCAAAGAGAAGGGAAACAACCATGGAAAACATCTGAGGGTTTAATGTCACTTTAAGGGGAAAAAATTAAAACGGTCTTTTAATAATTTAAAACTTTAATCCCCCCCCCCCCCACCGCTTCCCCCCCTCTTTTACGCCCCCCCCCCCCACCGCTCCCCCCCACAGGCATACACATACACATACACATATGCATATGGTACACACAGCTATATAACATTTCAGGTTTTACTGCACATGCTATAGTGAGAAGAATAAACCTACAGCCATTAGCCAGCATCACCTATAGGAAATTTCAGGTACCATAGTATTGGCGGCTACACGCAATTTTTAAATCTTCACACATATTTACAGGGTTAGTCACAAAAGGGTGAAGAGTTTGGAGAAGTCAGGAGAAGTGAACAATCTAGGACAACATAGCTGACATGGAAAGTGATATGAATTAGAGAACTTTTCCAAATCACCTATATTGGCCTAGATTGTTCACTTCTCCTGCCTTCTCCAAACTCTTCACCCCTTTGTGAATAACACCGTTAGTATCTATTTGCTCAACTCAGCCTCAAGTTATGATTTACAGAGAATGTGGAGATTTTATTATGTTTGCAAGCCCTGAAGTTTTTATGTATTTTTTTTGCTGAAAATACAGATTTGATAAATTAGTTGCGCTAAAATGGTGAAACATGAGAATTTGCAACCATCATGCTTATTCTATAGGTCCTCTGCTTTCAGAAACTATATACAATGTTTTGGAGTTTTAAGTGTGTTTTCATGTTTAAAAATGTACATTTAGCTCGTGTAATGATCACTGATACAAACCAATGTTGCAGTGGCTGCCGACCCATCCTTCTACGCAGATACACTGCCAGGGTTTGATGCAGCTGCCGTGAAGACAGCCGGGAAATGGGACGCACTGGTCACAAAATTGTCCTTTCCACCCGGGGCGACATCTGCAAAAAGTGGGGGGGAGAAATAAAGATTCAACATATTCCTTATTGATACATTTGTTCGGTAAATTCATGTATAAAATATGTTCCTTAACACTTTGTTACAGTTAAGGATGTTTAATAAAAGCTACCGTAATTTGGGGAAAGCAAATTGGATTAAATCATTCTGCTTATCCTTAGTCCACCCCTGTTAACCATGACCAGTAGATTGAGGGTGTATCCACACTGGGGTGTATGTACCATGTCCGAGCATGTTTGACTGAGCATGGTTCAGTAGGACTCTGGCAGACAGAGGCAAATATACAACAAACTGCACCCCCAGCATCCCGCCTAGCTCCTGGCAACCAGTGATGGTTGCCAGGAGTTGTGGATGGACGCCAGGCAGAGAGTCCCAGGTTGCTAAGCCCTGGCGGGGAGATGTGTAAGGGCCATGCACATCTCCCCAGCTGGCTCTTAGCAACTTGGGATGCTCTGGCCAGCATCCCACCCACATACACATCTCCCCACCTGTTCTGGTTACTATGAGCCAGGCGGGGAGAGGGGTGGGGAGAGAAAAAAGTCAGCTGTCGAAACTGCAGAGCCACGGAGTGGTGCCTCCCCCTTCAAGTGGAGCCCAGGGCATGTGCCATACCATGGATATGCCACTGCTATCGCAGTATGCATATGTGTGATGGCTAACCGAATGGACAGAACCACATGGAACTTGAACACTGGAGTAGATTAGAGCTGGACAAATTCCAGGAGCCAGGTGGCCAATGCTTCTTGAAAATTACAGTTGGCACCTAACTTTTGAGGTTTTCTCTACTCCACTCCTAAAAAGAGAAAAAAAATCCTGCTGGCTCCAGGATTGGACCGTCTGGCTCCTGAATTCGATATTATTTTGTCCACCCCTGAGTTAGATCCACTTGTGCCCATTAGGGTAATAAAGGTACAGATGGCATAAGTGTGCTTGGGGACAGCACAGAGTGAGTGCAGAGCAGGAGGGGGAAGGGGACAATTTGGCTCGGGCAACCGTGCCAAGTGTAAGAACAATTTAAAGTACACCCCTATGTTCCCTGTTTGTCTGACTATTGAGAGAGAGAGTAGGTCTTAATATATATTTCCTCTGGCGGGTCCCAGGCACCTCTCTCTGACTCTAGTTGCTGCTTATGATGTGACCTTTTAACATTTTGGGAGTGCCCTTGTAGGCATCTACGTAGTACTTTACCTGCATTCCCCGGGACTCTCACAAAACCCGTTTTCAGGATGGCAGCCCTGCCTGCAGACACCTGCAAGAAACACATCAAACCATCAGCATCATCTATGTTCTCTCTGCCTATCTCTTATGAGCGCACCACAGCACTTCCCGAATTTTATTCTGCAGTTAACAACAATCGGGTATTCATAGAGAGCTTTATACAAAATTCACTTAAATCTGCAGAAGGATATTTATCAATTCTGTCCCTGCAGTGCTAAACAGGAGCAGTAAGCCTGTTTTACAATGAGTCTGGCTTCATTCATAAATTCTTCCCTCTGCTGACAGGATAAAACCTGCCCCTGACCACGTCTTAGTTGTGCATCTGTTTTGCACCTTTAACATGCCTTGCTCCAAGGCAGCCCATGCATTTAGAATGCAAAGCAATGAATGAAATAAAATGTCCCTGCAGCATTCTGTTTACGCAGCACACAAACCAGGCATGCACATCACAGTTGTCTGGTTCTTGTAGCTGTGCCCTGGGGTGCCATGCTAAATGAATGGCACTGCACAGAATGTAATGCATTTACTGCACATTGCTGTAAAAACACGCATTTAACTGCAACACGTGTGAAGTCAGTCAAGTATGTCAAGGCAAAATAAAAAAACATATGCTGTACACATCTGCAATACATGCTCATTTACTAGTGTTTTATCCCCATAAAGATGATGCAAGCAAAGAGAAATCTCTGTTGATCTGCCGGAAATGCACTCCGCTCCTAATTTCCTGTTGTAGACCAAAAACACAGCAAGGAGAGTTTATCAAAACTGGGGCAGACAGTCTGGAGCAGCTGTCCATTGTAGACAATCGGCTTCTATCTTTCATTTTCAACTAAACAAACTGAGTAGTCACTATGGGCGACTGCTCCAGATTCTGTCTGCCCCAGTTGTGATAAATGAATCGATAACACCCC